TTTTACTTTTTTAGGATAGATATGTAACTTTTCTTTTCAGAAAAACCTTTAAATGGCTTGTTTCTTAACTACCAGTTAATACCTGTAGTTTGGTTTTTGTGTTATTTTCTTCCTCAGTATCTTTAAAAGGAATAAGTAGTGAGAGGGACTGGAATGTTCCAGCCTTGCTCAAGGGCTGCACCTGTCCAGTTACCTCCTCATTTCTGCGAGGGACTCTGACCCACCAAACCTGTACACCTACTTCCACAGTGGAGAGGGACAGGCCTTCACTCCTTAAAGCAGGCATGTCAGATTAGAAATTATGCTTTTCAGTCTATTGTGAATTTTAGTGATGCATCTGTTTTAATTACAAAAAAGACTTAAAAGTATTTTAGGAATAAATATGCTGCCAGTTTTAGAAGATATAGATGGATTAGTTAACGCTTTCATTGAATGAAGTGAACATGTCACTAAGCACTTCTGTCTTTGGCTTGGAATTCAGTATAAAAAAGATCATTCCACTGCACTCTAACAAAATCAAGAGATATTTGTCTTTAGGCTTTTCTCATGAAGCCACTCTAATGGTGAGAGATTATGAAGATTAGAAAAATGATTGTTGTTTATATGATTACATCCTCAATGCCAATTTTAGACAATTACAGAAATACAGAAAAAATGCTATTCATCTAAATAAATAATGTTCTAAGATGGAAATCAGCCAATAAGCAATAAATGACATCCAGCTCTTCTTTGGACTCTCAAAACATCACATTTTAAAATGTGTTACTCTTCTATGCTTTCATTTTTACTGGCACTATCTGAAGAGTAGAAAAATAATGAACACTTGCTGATAAAAATTTGCATTTGTATTACATCTCAAGAGGCAATGAGACTATGTATAAGATTTGAAACTAAGAAGAAAAAAGATCAAAGTGACTCAACCTGGGAAAAAATATTGAATAAGGTCTAAACTTTAAAAATTCAAAGTTATCAAAAACACACTGTTAGCCAAAAATTACTTCTCAAAAGCCCTAGAAATCAACCTTTAACTTGCTGTTGAGAAATCACAGAACACTTCATCATTCGGGAAATCTCAGTACCAAAAGTTCTTTCTTGGTTTTATCTTTGCTGTTAACTGATATGGCAACTCTGCTGAAAACCACATTGTTATGTATAAATGTGTTGCACTGATTTTAATAAGTGCAAACAGAATGACTCTATTTTTCATTTTATAAAGTAAATCAAATTTACCAGATCATAGGTCAAACAAGAATAGATTTTGCTAAACTGTTTTTTTTTTTTTTTTTCTTTTTCAAAGAGCAACTAAAAAAAATAAAATCAATACTAGGAAAATCCCAGATAAATGCTTCTTGACAATTCTTTGGAAAAAAGTCAGTAGGCCAAAGTAAATATTGCATTAGAGAACACAGGAATAACCATATACTTCATAGACATTGCCAACCTTTGTACTTAAGACTGGGGTGACTAATAAACTGTTGAGAAAAGTGGAAACTTCCCTAAAGAAATGATTTAGAGAAAGTTGTGTGTGTGTACAAAACACACTTTTGTATCTATTTAAAATTTATGAACTAAACAATAACTTGTTCTGCAAAGTAACTGCAGATGAAAACAGCTTCCCAAGTTCATTTTTGAAATGAAATTGGCATAATATCTATTCTGTTACTTCAAAGATATATATAAAGCATTTAAAATTTATTTTTCGTTAAATTTATTTTAATTATCTCCATTTGTCTTTTGATAATTTGTCTTACAATCTATTAAGAGGTATGTAAAAAGTAAAAATCTCTGCACAGACCCTCTAGATTTATGGATAGACAGGAAGTTGAATGCGTTTCTGCGTGATGGCAAGTAGCAAGGTTTGACATGGAGGATGTTGTTCTATCTAATCCTTTAAGGCTTCTGAGTGTGCAGGAATCAGTTCTTCGAGGCTGGACTTCAAAAAATTGGAAAGTATATAAGAAATTCATAAATACTAATATTTGTTTTAACTGGAGATATGCTGACCAGGAACAAACATTGGCAAGAGCAATGTTAGCTGTGCCTTCTCTCCATAACCTCACTTCTTGATGTGTATCTCAGAAACACAAATTCATTCTCCAAACAAGAAGCTCTTTGTCACCTTTAGAAGCAGGCAATTTTTTTATTCTTTCATTTTCTGACTGGATGAATAAAAATAATGATAGAAACAACAAACATCTGAATTTTCCTTTTCATTATTTCACTTAAGACATTCTTGGCATAATTCTTCACAAAGTAGTTTGGGAAGATAATATCTACACTAGCTTGTGTCAGCCAGTCACTTGACCCTGGTTTTTAAACTAGAGAAGAAAACTTTAAAAAGGCCCAGTGTTTTCTATCTGTGCCCCTTATTCTTTTCTGGACTTTTCCTCACTGACCAAGGCTACTTCCTCTACGGATCACACTCTTTCCCCCTCCGCAAGGAAGACTGCCCTGCACAACACTGGGAGCCTGCTCCTTCACAGAGGCCCCAACGTGCAGAGGGCACGAGGGGCCCACTCTCCCTTACTCAGGGCGTGGCTGCCTGGTCTAGAGTCCCTCCTGGAGGTGCCTGTTCTATTATCTCCTGGCCTGTAACATCAGCCTCTGTCTCTCCATGGACTCTACCTGTTAAGCATACAAATCTGCCCACATTTCATTCATTAAAATATTATAATACCCCAAACGAGGCAAACAAACAAACAAAACGACCCAACCCTTTCTGGACCAAGTCCACTCCTCTAAGCAATAGCCTGTTCTCTCCCTTCCCTTCAAGGCATAGCCTCGTTCACACCTCCTTGTCCTCAGTGACTGATGAAGACTTCCCCGAGGCTCACCATTTGTACTGGATTACTCCCATGGCCTCCTGGCTGTTCCCTTTAATCTTTCCTTCTGCACAGTCGCCGCAGGATCTTTTCTAAAATACAAATCTGTTTTACATCATTTTCAAGAGAAAATCCAAACTCCTTACTACGGGATACAGTTTTTATGATCTGAACTATTTAGCTTTGTCTCTGAACCCACTTTTAGCCTCTCCTACATTCTCTATCTAAACTCCAGACATCCTGGATCCACTGCTGCATGTGCAGTGCTCCTCCAGGTTCTCCTCCCCGCCTGCCTGTCCTGGCACACGCTGTGGTCCTCCCAGGAGCACCTTATCTTGATAAGGCAGTTCACCCTGCCCAGTGAACTTCTGCTTATCCTACGAGCCTTAGTTCAGAAGTCGCCCTCTTTTTGAAGCCTTCTCTGACCCTCATCTCCCCACATGGTCTGTGTCCTTCCTCTGTCCTCGTACAGCACCCTGTATTTGAAGCCTTGTAAGAGGAGCACCTGAATATTACTTATGACTTTATCGCCAGCCCGCTTCACAGTGCCTGGTATATGATAGGCACGGAGTGCACGTGTGTTTAATGATAATTACTGAATTTTTATTCATGATCCTCTGTCTCCCCAAGTGCAGGACTTATGTCTCTCATTCTCTGAATCTCCAGCACCCACAAGTAAATGCCACATAACTAGATCTCAACGAAGATTAATAACTATTAAAGGAACCAACACTCTAACCGCCTCCCAACTCTCCTTCTTCCAATTGATCCTGCTGCTGATGGAAGATTGCTTTTCCTAACATACCACCTTATCATGGTTCCCATCACCCACCCCTAGCTGGCTGAAACTTTCACCGGCTTCCTATTACCTGTAGGATGAAGCCAAGCTTCCCTACCTCAGTCCTTTTGCTTAGAACTGCTCTTTCCTTGACTGTCACAGACTCTCTCCTCCTCCCCCTGTATGTCTCAATTCAGGCCTTCCCTGCCTACTCAAACTAAACTGGTCTTCGAGTCAGTCTGTTACATTCACCTGTTTTAGTTTCTTAATATTCCCATTTATTAGACCTGAAGTGATCTGCTTCACAGGCTTTTTTCCTATGTGTCTCGCTATGGACTCACTCACTGGAATGTAAGTCCTTAAACACCGAGGACTGCCTGGCCTTGCTCACCACTGCATCCTCCTCCATCCTAAAGCACTCCCTGGAACCAGAGGTTAAGTGCTGAACATTTGCTTAATGAAGGCAAGACTGAATGCAAAAATGCTTCAGGCTGGCACTCAAGGTCCTCAACGACCCGGCCTCACCCCACTCTCCCAGCCTCCAACTAATTCCTCACATGACACTCCGTTTGCTATTTCCCAGATACCCACCATGCCTCCTAACTAGGCCTATCTACAAGAGCTTTGTCTTCTTTTCTTTCTATTTAAGTTATCTTCATCTTTTAAATCCATCTCAAACTCCATCTCTTCTATGAGGCAATCCAAAGTGGTAAGCTCCTTAACTACATTATTTATCTATTTAATGTTTTAAACATCTTTCAGTTCTCTAGAGCTCTTTGTCTTGTATTTGTAATGGATTTTTTTAATTTTAGAAATAGGTTTTAAGTTATAATAAAAGATAAAAATATTCTTAAAAGGAAAAAATCTTAATGCTAGGAATAAATAAGATTCAGACCCCATTTTCCTTATTTTAAGAAAATTGCAAGCCTTTTTCTTCAAGTATACCAAAGAAGTTTGCTCTCAGGTATAATGTGCAACATAATGGTTAAAAAGCAACATTCACAATTTGTTAATGAGAGTTGGTTTTAGTAACAACTCTGATGTCTGCTTTAATTGCAGATAATATTGGCCACTGAACATACTGAAAAGGCATCCAAAAAGTAACTCTTCCAACTTTTAAGTGTGAGCCTACCTTAGTCCAATTGATTAAAGAATTTGTTTTAATCCAGAAAATAAAATATAACAAACCAAAATAAAATATAACAAAAAATATAGTGCTTCTGTGATAAGAACTATTAGTCAGAAAATTCTCAAAACTTAGAGTGAATTTTAAATAGTTTTACTGATCTGCATCCTGTTGACCCCAGTATCAATACAGGCAAACACACCTACATATGTGGGCCTACACATCAGAGCAGGCAATGCAGTATGTAACATGGAAACAAAGGAAACATGCCAACCTGGATACTGACTTGGCACCAATAGCGTCCTCTGCTGAATTCACGTCACCCCAGCAGAGTTTTCTGCGACTTAGCCGTAGGCTGACGTGAGGAACGCCATCAGATAGCTCTGGCTGAGGTACCCCGTGGGCCTTAATAGATCCCTCACTCCCGGACTCTGGGATCTAGAAAATAAAATTTAAAAAAAGAGAGAGAGAGTGGAATTAAAAAATCTTTCAAATTAAGTTATTGAAGATAATTTATTCTAATTTATTAATAACACTCCAGAAAAATATCAACTTAGGTATGGAATTAAAAATACAAAATTAAAAATACAAAAATTCTTATATAGCAAAGGGCACAGTGAAGGGGAAATACCAATATTTCCAAGGGGAACCTTTCAAACCATATATGGCCCACATCCCACTCCTGGATTCTGATACAAATCTTCCCCAGGCCTAGCCCTCCTTAGAATAATCATTCTATGTAATGAGAGATTATAAGAGTATATCAGACTGCAACCTGGAGTGGAGGAAAGAAGCAACAGAAAGAGGCAGGAAAACAAAAGGCTGAGAACCACTGAAACAAAGGATGCCAACGCCAGAAAGGTGTCCAGAAATATTTACTACCAATAAGCAAAATACACACCAGTTTGCTAATGGTTTCTATTGTAATCCTCTCTTATAGTGCAAAGTATGGTCTAATAAATTTTCAATTAAGAAAATAAATAGGAAAGACACAATCCTTTTAGTTCTCTTATATCTCTGGAAGCATAGGCAACACAAGTGCCAAATGAATACCGGGTGTATTGACTTCTCATATCTGAGGTTATGTGCTCCCTCCAAACCCCAGAAACACCCTCATGCTCTCTTATTTTAGATCAGAAAGAATGTGAATTCAACCAATATTCGTTTCCTAAAAATGTGTAAAAATCATGTCAGAATTGCAGGAAAATTTCAAACCTTCAGATCAACTCTGTTCGTTACACTGGAAGTTTTTTCTCATCTCTAGGACTCTTCTCATGCTTGTCCTTCCACCTGGAATGTCATCTGTTCATCACTGGCCACTCACCAATTGCCCAAGACCAAACCAAACCCTAACTTCCTTTGAGGCTGAGATAAGAATCCACTGCTCACAGAGCTTCTCTAGCTAACCTCAGGTCTTACTAACCTTTCCCAAGTCTGAACTCCCGTAACACTCCACCACACAATGTACGTTTGGTTATGTGTCGTCTGAGAACCTTAACCTCAGTTGTCTCGTGTTTCTAGGTTATATGGCCTCAACCAGATCCTGGAGATGGAGATTACAGCCTCATCCTCTTCCTATTTCTCCCCTTCGACCCCTTCCCCTTCTTCCTCTTCTGTATATTATTTTTAACATTTTTACCATAAAGTCTAGCAAAGTTTTGAACTCATTAATAAATACTTTTTGTCAGATAACACACTTTTCAACTACAAGATATTCCCAAAACACTGACTGGTCAAGAGGCTAAGATAACAAACAATTTTAAAAAGTAATATGGGGACAATTATGAACATAATTGTTTAATAAATTCATACCTCCCTGAGGATTACATTAAAATAATATATGAAAATAATTTAGCAAAGAGTTACATTTAGCATAGAGCAAAGTAAACATTCAACAAAAGCTAGCTGTTATTAACATTGTTGTTATGTAAAGTTTGCCCAAATCTGATGATTAGCAATTAATTGTTTGGTTGCATTTTTCTGCAGAATATTTATAAGCTCATGAAAATCAAGGAAAGAAAAAAATTTTTAAAAATTACGAACTAACTATAGTTCATAGAGATATTTGTCAAGATTACTTCTAAAAGAAATATTCAGATAAACACCAAAAGAATATGAAAAGCACAAATATATGCTATTCTATATTTCATAAATGGGCTCCTTTTGCATGTGACTCTTTTTCATAAAAGCAGACATGAAAAATCAATGAAACACTGAAAAACTAGTAAGATTTCAAATTAGTTAGCTAAAAAAAATCTTACCCGATTTAATTCTCTCTCAAAACAAATACAAGAGCAGTTGTTTGGTAACATTTAACACCATAATGTTAAAATAAGGACACGACATGTTAGGTTCAGTGATAATTTCTGGGTTCTAAATTTGATTCAACAATTTATGTAAAGAAGAAATATTCTAAGGTAAAAAAGGTAATATGCAGCTTATTCCATTTTGTCAGTTTACACTAAAATATACTACATAATGCAAATCACTTAGAACTCAGATACCAGCAACTACACCAGATACATTTATCTGTGTATTTCTGTGATGACTTAATTTCTACGGAAATAACATAGACTGATTGTCACTAACCATGAATATTACAATATAAACTCATTATCAATATATATCAAGGTAGTACAAAGAATTGAACTTGTGCACAGAGAAAACACCACATGAAGCTTATGAGAGAACAAAATTGTTAAAAAAAAAAGTAGCTCAGTAACTCTGAGACTACTGGAATATACACACATATTTTAAAAGGAATGCATATTTTTAAAGGTCATTAATGATATCTTCTTGAGGATGTATCTCGAAGATTATACATTTTCACATAGGAAAAACGAATAGAGTAATAAAATTTTAAAACCTGCTATTTTACTGATGCAATTAATTTTAGTACAAATATATTCACTTTGATGAAAAGGAAGAGATCACTTTCTTTACTTTAGGTGGAAGTGAGCTTTTTTAGGAACACATGATTTGAGCCTTGGCCTTATAATGTAGGTAGAGAGATAGTTTTACTTTTATGCTTCTGGGTGTCCATGTCAAACTGTACACAGTTTAGTGGTGGACTCTTAGGTGGCACTCAAGGCCCCTTGCCTCGTGGAACTCTCTGAGGAGGAGTATGACACAGCCAGCCAAGACCAAGGATATAAGGGGACGTTGTTACAGTGTGGCCTTAAATCAGAGGTTCTCGTCTGGAGCCAATTTGTCTGGAGACATTTTTGGTCGTCATGATGGAGGTGAGGGTGTGTGCTATTGGAATGTAGGGGGTAGAGGCCAAGGATGTGACTAAACATCCTACAATGCACAGGGCAGCCTGCTATAAAAGAGAGTTATCTGGTCCAAAATGTCAGTAGAGCCGAAGCTGTGAAACTCCACCTTAGAGGGAATGGTAAGAAGAAACCTGTACTGAGGCAGTCCTCTCTTTATGTGCTTTTCTTCTTGCTCCATCCTCCCTTTCTGCCACGGGCATGTTGAGACATAATGCACCAAGATCAGCTCTGAGTTTAGCAGAAATGGGTCAAGGAGGCCACTTAGGCCTGCCTTGTCTAGGCAAGAGTCCTAGGGGCTCCAGGAGGTTCAGCCAAGCTCTGTTGGGCACAGACTCCAAATAGGGCCGAAAGCCTTTCTGTAACAAACAGGGTGAATGTGGGAGACCCATCTGCAGCCTCCCTCATAACATGTGGCTGCAGTAGGAAAATGGATAAGGACTCAGGATAATGACTGGAGTGGACAGCTTTCTCTTTCCGTTGGAGATACCCACTAGTTCACACTAGTTTGCTTCTTTATTTTAGTAATTTCTTCATGATAACTTTTGTACTTGAAAATGAAAAATATAAAAGCCCCCAAACCATCACTGAAAAAACATTTTGCTCAGAGGAATCCTGCCATGGGCCGTTTGAGATACGGATCTAGGCACATGCTGTATGATTTATGTGTACAACTAAAATACTAACAATTCTAGGAATCTTTAAAAAAGCACATTCCATGCATGTATTTGCAGGTATGGAATAGTCTAACTGAGAAACAATCTGAGCTACTTTAGTATTTGAGATGCCATGGAAATAGAAACAAAAGAACTATCTTTGAAAATGTAAAATGAAAATATATTTACTTACATGCTGTTGTTGTTATAAATAAATATTTAGTGAGCATTTACTCTGTACTAGGCATGGTTCTAAGATATTTACATAAATTAACCCATTTAATTCTCACAACAATGCAAAGAGTCAGGGACTGTTATCATTACCGTTTCACAGATGAGGAAACTAAGGCACAAAGAGTTTGAGTTATTTGTCCCAGTAAGTGGCAGAGCTACAGTTACAACCCAGAGAATCAGGCCTCAGTACCTGTACTTATCAGGAATAGCTATATTTGGTTACATGTTAAACATTGTAATTGCCAGAAGAAGACAAGGCATTTTTGGATGCAAGTCACATTGCATTCCATAACGCGACCCATTTTCTTCTTCTTTTTTTTTGGCATTCGTAGTTAAAACTTTTAAAAAATTTCTCTCTCTAGCACCCGCTGAACCATTCTAGCAATATAATCTCAGGGAAAAAAAATCAGATATGAGGGCAAAACTATATGGAAAATGTGTTCATCATATTTTTATTTATAAGAAGCCAAAAATGTAAGCATTCTAATAGCCAAATTACTATAATAGGTAAAACTCAGATCATCACTATACTTAAAACATACATAAATAAATTTCAAAGGCCAAAAAACAAACTCTGTCACAGTCAACACTACAAATGTTTTAAGATGGTCTCATCTTTAAAAATTGAACAAGGAATCCAGCACCAGAAAACCATATCTGTGATACCAGGCTCTGATTTACCCTGATACACTGACGTGACCAGAAATAAAAGAGACATAAAACAATACATGCCTCAACTTAATATTTATCATTTAAATTGGTCACTGTGAGGGCCCAACAGTGAGCCATGGGGTATAGGCCCTCCAACTCACGGGCAAGTTAGGGTAGGAGTTGTCTGTCCTGCAGGACTGAAACAAGGGAATGGCAGGTGAATCAGGAGGAGGGACTCAGTTTACTGGACAGGGACCTGCCTCTCCAAAATTTGTAGCTCCGCTTTCTTTGTGTAGGTGAAGGGGGTTTCCTGATTATCATAAGTTTCTTCCCAGAAAAGTAATTGCATGTGAATAAATTGCAGGAAAATTTATAATAATAATTTAGTATGCTATTATGAAATAGTATTATTAATACATAATTTTTAAAAGTTTAAGCATAACAAAGTAATGTTTTGGTCTCAGCAGTCACTCTAAGCACTGGTCAATTGCTGTGCCTGCATTTTGAAATCACAAAAAATTAAGTCTGTTCTTTTCATCATCAGATACTTTGAGAGATGATTAGAACAGGCAGAAAATTATATTCAAGGCTCAAATGATGAAGGAAGACAGCAGTAGAAGGAAGA